TATATATAGTACCCTATGAACGTCCCATAGTATGTTGAATCAGATTCATTCCATAGAAATCAATTTTTGAATGATCCAAAACATTCATTGATTCGAAAATTCAACCATCACATATTAGTTGATCAATAAATTCTTCTAAAACATATTTTTTTGATTTGATCCACAATAAACTACATGTCAAAACATACAAAATCTATTGATCAAACACCAAATCACCTAATCCACCGGAGATAAACGATAGGATTTGGGATCTGGTGCAAAAACACGCAATCCAGAGGGCTAATGTAATATACCAAGGGTCGAGAGCTGGTGAGAGGAATACGCAGTCCAGGAGGGCCAATGTGATATTCCAAGAGTCGGGATCTGGTCTGAAAAGCAAGCAGTCTAGTAAGATTAAGGGTGACTACATGAAAATAAGGTCAGTTGGAACTAAATGTTAGTCGGGTCTGGACCATATTTCGTTTATAGTAAATTATTGACTGATAAAGTACCCGAAGTTTTTTAATCCCTTGCTGAGAGTTTTCTCTGTGATTAATTTGATGTTATTAACTGCTTTCTATTTATAAATTGTGGTATCCAAACTTAGGATAAATTTGATTTGGTTGACCCAATCATCTAAAAACAATTAAAAAGTGACTTGTTACTTTTAATTGTATAATTTTACACATTGGGATCTAAAATATAAATAAATTGATAGAACTATCAAGTTTTGAGTTTTTCCTTCTAAGCATGGCATGTGAGATTCATTAAAAAAATTCCTTCTTATTATGACTCTATACCATTTTTTCTTCTTTAACTCATACGCGAAACCGGCGGTTTAAAACCGGACCAAACCGTTAGGTTTAGGTTTGAGTTTTTTTCAAACCGGTCAAAACGGTTTGGTTTAGGTTTGAGCTTTTCTCAAACCGGTCAAAACGGTTTGGTTTGAAAATTTGTCAAAAACCGCAAAAATCGGACCGCTTACACCCCTAAATCATGCTATAGTGCTAGATGTTCCGACATAATGCCACATGACATTCCATTATTGAACTGTTTAGTCGTTTATTCTTCCATAGCAGCTAACCATTTCTTAGAATCTTTTACCCTTAATAGCATCATCATAGGAGTTAGGTTTATTTTCAGCATTTTTGTGATAATGAATAGTATAACAAAAATCTTCACTATCAAACTTGGCAAGAGGTTTGATCCACCTTCTTTGCATGTCTCTTGTGAGTTGATACTTATTGAGGGGCGGAGTTGAAGATTCAGAATGGTTATCTAGTTCAATTTTCTGACTACGTTCAATTGTCCCTAAGGGTACATCATTAGTTTGACCAAAGTCCTCATCTGCAAGCGTAGTATTACTGGTTTCTAGGTGAGGAGTCTCCACCTCAATTTGAACATCCGTTTCAATTAAGTTTGTTAAGTTCAAATTGGATAATTGACAATTTTTAAATTTGCAATTGGTAATTTCTTTAGTTAAAATCATGTCCTATTTGAATTGTATTAGAAATTTATCAAATTGTAATCAAAATCAAAATAAGAGTTATTGAGTCCTAATTGTAGTAAAAAGAGTAATATAGCTCTTGAAGGAGTCCAAGTTATGCAAGATGTCTAAGAAGATCGCATATGATCATTGGAATGCAATTAGAAGCCAAAGAAGTGTAAAAGTATTGCACAAATTATGCTCTAAATTCTCGGCCATAAGTTGCAATGCATTTTTCACATAAAAAATATTGGAATTTGGACAAGGCTAATTCTGGTCGAATTATATTTCTTTGAGTTTTCTTTTCAACACACTTTGAATCACTTCAATTAGATATCGTGAGAGAAAGTTATGATGAAAATACTAACGACTGCTCAACTGTTGCTCGCCTGGCGCTCGCGCGGCATGGTTATCCGAGAAACAGTAATATTCGATTTTCAAGCAGATTTTGAGTTCCTTTTCATCCCGAACACACACACACACACACACTCTCTCTCTCTCTCTCTCTATATATATATATATAACGTCCCATAGTATGTTGAATCCGATTCATTCCATAGAGATCAATTTTTTGATGATCCAAAACATTCATTGATTCGAAAATTCAACCATCACATATTACTTGATCAATAAATTCTTCTAAAACATATTTTTTTGATTTGATCCACAATAAACCACATGTCAAAACATACAAAATCTATTGATCAAACACTAAATCACCTAATCCACCGGAGATAAATGATAAGAATTGGTAGCTGGTGCAAAAACACGCAATCCAGAGGGCTAATGTAATATACCAAGGGTCGAGAGGTGGTGAGAGGAATACGCAGTCCGGAGGGCCAATGTGATATTCCAAGAGTCGGGATCTGGTCTGAAAAGCAAGCAGTCTAGTAAGATTAAGGGTGACTACATGAAAATAAGGTCAGTTGGGACTAAATGTTAGTTGGGTCTGGACCATATTTCGTTTATAGTAAATTATTGACTGATAAAGTACCCGAAGTTTTTTAATTCCTTGCTGAGAGTTTTCTCTGTGATTAATTTGATGTTATTTACTGCTTTCTATTTATAAACTGTGGTATCCAAATTTAGGATAAATTTGATTTGGTTGACCTAATCATCTAAAAACAATTAAAAAGTAACTTGTTGCTTTTAATTGTGTAATTTTACACATTGGGATCTAAAATATAAATAAATTGATAGAACTATCAAGTTTTGAGTCTTTCCTTCTAAGCATGGCATGTGAGATTCATTAAAAAAATTCCTTCTTATTATGACTATATACCATTTTTTCTTCTTTAACTCACAGCACGACCAAATATTTTCAAATGTTAGTTGGGTCTGTACCATATTTCGTTTATACTAAATTATTAACTGATAAAGTACCCGAAGTTTTTTAATCCCTTGCTGAGAGTTTTCTCTGTGATTAATTTGATGTTATTAACTGCTTTCTATTTATAAATTGTGGTATCCAAACTTAGGATAAATTTGATTTGGTTGACCCAATCATCTAAAAACAATTAAAAAGTGACTTGTTACTTTTAATTGTATAATTTTACACATTGGGATCTAAAATATAAATAAATTG